CAGGCCTGGATACCATTCCCGACCTTGCCGGAGCTCCAGGATAGGCGCAACGCGGAGCACGATATCGAGGCTATTGAAGGACGGCAGCTGAGGACGCCGTTCGAAGAGTGGTCAGCGGCCCAGAATGAGGAGACCTGCTGTTTTTCATCGGGGAGCAAACTGATGACCAACTGAGCCAGTGGAGGATCCTGGACACAGACGGCGATTTAGCAATTGTCGCCTTCGTGAGGCGGAAGGCCCAAGGTGCGTTGCTGGGATGAAGAGTCCTCAGTTTGGTACATACTGGTACATCTTGAGCTACCTTGAAGAGTGCGGCGGAGTAGGCTGGCCATCACCGGGATCTACCTCTGCAGCTGTGGGCACTGCTGCACGGGTCCCAATGGCAACCGATTGCCCGTCTGACCGATGAATATTCTCAAAGCATGTTGGGTTTCTTTGTTCGTGACCTTGAAGCTGGAATCCGTCGTGCTACCCTCCCCCTGCAGGCTGGGTGCAGGCTGCTGCTGGTGAGCATTATCATGAGGCTGTATGGTGGGCTTTGGCACACTGTTTCTTGGTAACCGGCAGTAGAGTGGGGCATCACATATTGGGGTGGGTTGTTAGTTGGTCGGGGCTGAGGGGTTCCCAGGTGTCCACTAGCGGCCAGAATTCCTCATATGTTACAGTTGTGGCCTTGTTTGAGCAGTATCATGCGGTCAGGTTACAGGCAGCATAGCCTTGCTTAGTCTGAATTCGGACCTTCAATGGTCTCACGTGAGCAGAGTAGCGAGGCAGTGTAGAGTGCCCCTTCAAATGGAGGGCCGGCTTGCAAAAGGGTATCCATTGTGGTACTGGAGCTCGGGAAGCTTGAAGTGTGTGGTGCCTGTCAGGAAGCTCGGGGTGCATCCCTTAGGTGTCTGGGAGAGCTTGTGCCTCTGAACCCTGCAGCTCTAAATCTTCATGTTCCCCCTGACTGCTCCCCTTCTGTGTAGCCCCTGTGGCTGGCCTGAGTGTGGGGAGCACGGCTGGCCTGAGTGTGGGGAGCATGGCAGGGTCCCATGAGTTAGTGTGTGGCCCAGGGATTGCTCACCAGCAGCTTGGCCTGTGCAAAACAACAGCTCTTATCATCCTGGGATGTACCTCTGCAGCTGTGAGCACCGTTGCAGGCGTTCCAGTGGCATGTTTGACCTGAAAAGAATTGTTGTTTGCCTGCAGTGTCTCACTGGTATTTGCTATGCTTCCTTTGCCTGCAGCCTTCCTGCCCTTTGCCCACGGCCCACTTGCATTTGAGCCTTAATTGTGTGTGCCATTTTATACTTCCATGCTGAACACAGGCTGACAGGGCTGCCACTGGGTGAACAAATTCTCTCTGAACTTCAGAAGATGGCGGTGGCCCTGAGGAAGCTCCAGGTGAACGTGCGCCTCTGGGATGACTGCATGCAGTGTTGCATTTTAATCAGACACCATAATAGGTCCATGTAGCATGTGTTTACTCGTGTTCTCTGCTTGGTGGCAACATCTTGTTCCACCCTTTTCCCCACCCTGGATGTTGGCTGTATCAGGGTCCCACACGGCCCAGTTCCCCCATTGAGGTCACTCCCTCCGCCTGTTCATCAAATATGTGCAAAACGATAGAGAGTGCAGTGGGTGTGCGGTGGCACTATATCATGGGGTTCTTCACACCATGCTGCTGCACCTGTGTGCCATTGCTCAGGTCACTTATGCACCCAATCTGCTGTCTTGCAGACATGAGGCACGTAAGAAAGTATCCATAGCCGAGCATAACCGAGTGGCTACAAGCCATGGTCCACCTCGGCCACACAACCATCAAGATTAAGCCCTCAAGAATGGACTACATATTCGTCATGGGGGTGGCGTGGGCCAAGTGTGAGAAGGACTTCAGGGTGGTTGTTCAATGGGTGTAAGCTGAGCATTGAGGATGGCATGATGACCGATGCATTGCAGTCCATGCTGGGTTCAATCATCGGCCTGTACAAAGTCAAGACTGATGTCATCCTGAACAAGGGGCTGCCTGGCATGTGCATGCAGGTGCTGATTGAGTACCTGGCAGTCAACCACATGAGGAACTAGCCCATGAGTGAGTGTATTCT